CAGAGGGGTTCGGGGCCCCTGCGGGAGCCGGCGACAAAGCCGGGGAGGCCACGGGCGAAGAAGGCGCCATCGGTACGGAGGCGGAGGCGGATAAGCAGCAGGTGGAGGAGGAGAAGCCGGAGGTGGGCGCGGAGGCCCGGGGGGTCCTGGGGCCCCTAGACCTGGGCGGTCTTATTGTGGACCCGCTGGAGGCCATCCAGTGGGAGCTGGAGGCCGCGAGCGCCCAGGCCGACAGGGCCTACCTCCGGCTGGAGCGCAGGTTCGGCAGGATGCGCAGGTTGCACCTGGCCAGGAGGAGCTTCATCATCCAGAACATCCCTGGCTTCTGGGTCACCGCCTTCCTGAACCACCCGCAGCTGGCAGCCCTGATCAGCCCCCGGGATGAAGACATACTCTGCTATCTGATGAATCTGGAGGTGAGAGAACTCAGACATGCCAGGTCAGGTTGCAAGTTCAAGTTCCGCTTTTGGAGCAATCCGTACTTCCGAAACAAGGTGATTGTGAAAGAGTACGAGTGTAGATCCTCGGGTCGAGTGGTGTCCATTGCAACTCCCATCCGTTGGCACCGGGGCCAGGAGCCACCCGCCCTGATCCACAGAAACCGGGACACGGTGCGAAGCTTCTTCAGCTGGTTTTCACAGCACAGCCTCCCAGAGGCTGACAGGGTTGCCCAAATCATTAAAGATGACCTGTGGCCCAACCCTCTGCAGTACTACTTGCTGGGGGATAGGTCTCATAGAGCCAGGCGAGGCCTCGCAAGGTGGCCCACTGAGGCCCCTTCTAGGCCCTACGGATTCCAGTCTGGCTAAGTCCTGCCCTGGCCCGCAATACCTACATGACACCTGTCTCTTATAGACCTTCTGTTTGCCTTCTCTGGATGTTGGGTGGACCCAGCCCCAAGACTGGTTTTCATGGCCAATCTCTACAGTTCCCATGTGACTTACTTGCTGGTCTGCATCAATATTGTGTGACTATCATATGCCTCTGCGTTCACCACAGGCCTCCCCGCCACCCCCCCCCTCCCCGGCTCTGGACCACTACCATCTTCATGGCCTGAAACTACCTGAGGGCCTCCCGACCACTTTTTTTTTCTTTTTCTTTTCTCATGAGCACCTATGAGGTGTCACAAGACCAACCATTGCATCTTTGAAGGCTCAAGCTTTAAGGTCTTGTCACCCAAGATGAAGTGGGCACACTTGGAAAGGAGAGAACCACCCGACTTGGACATTCCATGGCCTCAGGCCAGACTCCCATCAAATGGACTAGTGGGCACCTGGCAGCATGGGCAGCCAGATGACCGGGCAGGGTGAGGCCTAGGGTGAGTGCCCAGCGAAGGATCCTTTGCATTTAACACTGCTCTTCTTGCCCCATGTTGCCCCCTCACCACTGCCTGAGCTGTGCTCCATTGTGCTTGGCCATCACCTTTCTGAGGAGCTTTGCTCAGGCTACCCTCATCCCTCGTGCCTGCTCCCATGCTCAAGAGCTGCCTAGGGATGCAGGCAGGGGCCTCCTGCCCTATTACCTGGAAATAGTGCCATCATCTGATCCAGGGGGACAGGGATGGGATCTCTTCCAGGAGCCCCATTATTGAGCCTACACAAAAGCTGGGTCCTTTGCCAGCTCCCCCTGTGCCCACCTATGTTTAGGCTACCAGGTTGAGGTGGCTATGGGGCCACACTATTTTTTAAAATGACAACTCAGAAACAAAGTAACTGAACAAGCAAAGCTTTTGCCAACAGCAAAGGAGACAAACTTTCTTGAACTCAGCTGTCTCTAGAGGGGGAGAGCTTGTCCTGTTAACTGCTTGTGCTCTTCACTCCTTTGTCCTATCCCTTCTTCAAAACGGGGCAGTCAGTGCTGGGCAAGCTATACAGAGAGCAGGAAGTCCCCAGGGGCAGGGAGAGTTAATCATTGTACACTGTATTCTTTTAGAGGCACTTCACCCCTGATTCTCTTCCTCCAGGTCCCTTTCTGTGTTGTCGTCCCTCCTTCCCCTGCCCATGGGTTCCTCTATGTTTAAGAGCTGAGCTGCCCTAGCAGGCTTGTCCTCTCCATTTTACACAAGGCCTTGTCTTCTGGGACATGGGGACATAATGGTGGGGAGCAGAAAACGTAAGTCAGAGCAGCTGCAAAGGAAGGAGTGGCTGACAGCTCTGGGTGGAGGAGAGAGCCCTTGAGTCTTGTGAGCTTTTTTCTTTCACCAATATTTTGTAAATTAGAAGACTAATAGAACACTAAAGCTTCACAGGTTTTCTCACCTGGGCCAGGTATCACTGGTGTGGTTAGAAAGCTAATGTTTTAGGCTCTTTATTTTGCTACTTTTGTCTAAGTCCTCTGTACATTTCCTTCGCTGTTTGAGCCCCCTGGGAAATGGAGCTGTACATGCCTGCTTGCTGTTAGTTGAGAACATTTGTAACTTCTGCCAATGTAACTGTTCTATGCCACTTGGAAACTTCCATGTCTGTACACTGTAAATCAGTTGTGGCCTGATGCTATATAACCCTGCCTTACAAGGAGAATTGGAATACAGTGCATCTATAGAATAACTTCCAGGAGGAAATCTGTGACTGATCTCTGGCTGCATCTGTGACTGATGGTCTGAGTGGTTCTGTGCCCCGGTGACCATGTTGCTAATGACATTGCTGCAAAATGATATAGCTGCCTCTAAACAGAAATATTCCCCGTGGGGTTTTGTCCAATTTGGCGCTTTTGTGTTCTATATGCATGATGGAAAATAAAACCTTTTGGTCTAGGGAAAAATAACTTAGGTCATGTTACTCCCCCTTCTAAAACCCTCTACGGGCAAAGCCCCCAATTCCTTTTATCAGCTGGGGAGCTGACTTGTCTGGTCCTTGCTGGCCTCTCTGCTCTCCACAGTGGCTTCTGCTACTCCCGAAATACATCAAGCATGTTCCAGTCTCAGGTTTTGCTTTTCCCTCTCTCAGGAATTTTCCTACTGCAAGAGGAGGGAAGAGAAATCTGAAGTTCCTACAATTTATTCAAGCCTCAAACACCATTTTCCCACAGGCTTCCCGGCCCAGCCTCCAAGTTTCCCCTTGTCTCTTGTAACTGAGGATGAGCTTTTCTCGTCCTCTTTCTTCCCGGTCTCTTGAGAGTCAGGAGACCAGCGACCCATCTGTCTGCTGCCTTTTCCCATATGGTTTAGTAACACTCCCAAAATCATCAGTGTGAGTGAATGACCTTATCAAGTGTGCTAGAACTCTGTGTGAGCTCTGACAAGATAAAGAATGACGCCAAGTTCCTTCCCAAAGGATTTCAGTTGGGTGGAACAGAGTAGAGTGAAATACTGGGCTCACAAATGTAATCCTAGCTGCTCAGGAGTCTGAGATCTGATATTCTGGGTTCAAAGCCAGCCCTGGCAGGAAAGTTAATGAGATTCTTATTTCCTATTAACTACCAAAAAGCCGGAAGTAGTGGTAGAGTATCAGCCTTGAACAGAAAAAGCGAAGGGACAGTGCCCAGTCTGAGTTCAAACCCTAGTACCAGGACAAAAAAAAGGGTGTGCTGAGGGATGACTACAGTAGATTGTCTAGCCAGTCTTCACCTCTGTGGTAAAGAAGGCTACTTCTGGCAATTATACCAGGACAAGAGGGCCAACTGACACATACCAGTTACATCAAGGAGTTAGAACGCAGTTAAGTCCAGTATGGCCAACAGTTTATCCCAAGCTGTGGTGGTGTGAGGTCAGATAGTAGACATCTCTCAAGTCAGGACACTGGACCTGGCCTTTGAAAAAATGGCACAAGTTTAAAAAGCCAGTTCCAGCCGGGCGCTGGTGGCTCACGCCTGTAATCCTAGCTACTCAGGAGGCTGAGATCTGAGGATCACGGTTCAAAGCCAACCCGGGCAAGAGAGACTGTGAGACTCCTATCTCCAATAAATCACCAGAAAACCGGAAGTGGCACTGTAGCTCAAGTGGTAGAGCGCTCGCCTTGAGCTGAAAAGCTGAGGGACAGTGCCCAAGCCCAGAGTTCAAGCCCCACGACCGACAAAAAATAAAAATAAAAAAATAAAAAGCCAGTTCCTGCTTGGGAGTGGGGAGCCCTGAGGTAGAGAGCTTAGCTAACTTGAGAGAGGCCTGGATTCATCTCCAGCACTGCGGATCAACAATTAGAGGGTCTAGAAGAGGAATTCCTGGCAGAGCAAGCAGCATGAGCTCAGGAATAGGGCATCAAGATATACTACGTTTGGGGTATAGGATGATGTGTGGTTGCCTGGAAGAGGCAATGATGGATGAGGAGGTGGGGGAGGCCACTCCTGAAAGCAGGAACTCAAGATGCCAGGCCAAGGATTTATCCTGTGGAAACCAGTAGGAGTGTCAGCTATGGGTCAAAATGAGGCTGGAGGCAAGGGGAAGAGAGGGCTAACTAAGATCTTCAGTTTGGACTTAGCCATCCTTCCAAGATACAGCTTTTCTGGGAAGACTTCCATGATTGTCCTAGCCTGCAACAGTCTGCCACCTCCCAAGTATAGACTAAAACCAAGATAGTGGACCTGGCTGGATTCTACCCTCTGGGCCAAACACCTGTCCTTGATGCTCCCTGGAGAAGTCAAGGAGAGCTGGAAGCATGCTGGAAGCTGGTGACCCCGGATCTACCTGACCTGTGCTTGTGGTTATCAAATTGCTCTTTGGTTCCTCCTGTCCAGATTTGGGTCCTGCAGCATCCTGTATGTCCTTAGCTCCTAGACAATGGTCCTAATTTAATGGAGGTACTTACCTGCTCCTGCTGCTATATGGCTAGTGCTGAACTTAGCACTGTGGCAAACACATGCTCCTCTGCCCAATGGGGTGTATCATCTTCAGAACCCATTCTTTTTTTTTTTTTTGGTTGTGGGCTTGAACTCTGGGCTTGTGTGCTGTCCCTGCACTCTTCAGCGCTCTACCACTTGAGCCACAGCACCACTTCCAGTTTCCTAGTGGTTTATTGGAGATAAGAGTCTCATGGACTTTCCTACCTGGGCTGGCTTTGAACCATGATCCTCAGATCTTAGCCCCTGAGTAGCTAGGATTACAGGCGTGAGCCACTAGCGCCCGGCCAGAACCCATTCTTTCTTGTTCACTAGTTTGTGCCCCATCACTCACTCGCTTATCTAATACACAGCACTTCATCTCCAGGAGATCATCTTTGGGGTTCTTGACCTCAAATCAAAGGCACAAGCATGCTAAAAAGTGAAATGGCCACCAGCAGTAATAGAGCATCTATTCTGTGTGGTGTCACGAGTAGACATGGCAGTCAGAGTGATTTTTTTTTTTGGGGGTCTGGTCGTGGGGCCTGAACTCTGGGCCTGGGCACTGTCCCTCAGCTCTTCAGCCCAAGGCTAGCACTCTACCATTTAATTTGAGCCACAGCGTCGCTTCCGGCTTTTTTCTTATGTGGTGCTGAGGAATCAAACCCAGGGCCTCAGGCATGCAAGGCAAGCACTCTACCACTGAGCTACCTTCCCAGCCCGTCAGAGTGATTTTCTAACCCAGGGTCACTGCTCCAAACTCTGAAGGCTCTAGTTCTTGTCAGTTGCTGGTGGCTTATGCTTCTATAATCCTAGCTACTGAGGAGACAGATCTGAGACAGATCTGTCAGCTCAGGCAGGAGAGTCCATGAGATTCATCTCCAGTTAATCACCAAAAAGCCGAAAGTGGAGGTGTGGCTCAAGTGGTAGAATGCCAGTCTTAGCTAGAAAGCTCAGGGACAGCATCCAGGCCCTGAGCTCAAGCCACAGTACAGGCACAAAACAAAAACTAAAAAACCACAACCAGCTCTGAAGGGCTTACAAGACTTTTGTAAGCTCCTTCTAGGGCTCCAAACCTGGCTCAAGATCTTCTTGGAGCTGGGCACCAGTGGCTCATGCCTGTAATCCTACTCAGGAGGCTGAGATCTGAGGATCACAGTTCAAAGCCAGCCTGAGCAGGAAAGTTCATGAGACTTTTTTGTTTTGTTGGTCATGGGGCTTGAACTCTAGGCCTGAGCACTGTTCCTGAGCTCTTCAGCTCAAGGCCAGTGCTCTACCACTTGAGCCACAATGCTACTTCCACTTCTGGTTTTCTGGTGGTTAATCAGAAATAAGAGTCTCACTGACTTCCTGCCTGGGCTGACTTTGTACTGTGATCCTCAGATCTAAGCCTCCTGAGTAGCTAGAATTATAGGCATGAGCCACAGGCACCTGGCTCATTCATGTGACTCTTATTTCCAACAAACTACTCAGAAAAAGCCAGAAGTAGCACTGTGGCTCAAGTGGTAGCGCTCTAGCCTTGAACAAAAGAAGGTCAAGGACAGTGCCCAGGCCCAGGTCCAGCAAAAATAAATAAATAACTTTGGACATTATTTTTCGGTCTGAGAAAAATCTATCTCAAGGGGTTGGAAGTATGGCTCAGTTGGTAGAGCACTAGCCAATGAGCAAAAGCAGCAGGTATTGAGTTTAAAAGAAAATCCATTTCCAAACGGTAGCAATTACTTGTAATCTCCAATTGCCTTGATTATAGATAGCTCAGAGGACTTTGACATTTTTCCCTAAGGACTTCAAGGAAGTCCCTGGCTTCTGCTTCCCATGCTCAAGAAGGCGAACCAAAGCCAGGGACTGTGAGGCACCAACCACAGCTGACTCAGGCTCTTGGGCAGCCAGCTGTGGTGGAACAGGCACCAGCCTGAAGTCTGCTAGGCTTATGGGTGGCTGCTGCCTACTACTCACCACAATTCCACATCTCTTCATGGCCCTCAGCCCATTCTTCGTCCAAAGGAGAAACTGAAACTTCATTAGGAGGAAAATTCCCTTCAGAGGGCTCACCCCTCACCCCCCCCCATGTCACTCAAACTCTCTAAGCAAATAATCAGCTCAAGAATGAGCACTGCTCTCGATTTACAACAAAACAAACATGAAAAAAAACCTGCAAGCACAAATCCACAGAACCAAACTGTTTCCAAGTAACTTAATTCCCCAAACAATGCTCAAATGGATCCACAGGATTATTAATATACCCCAGATCCAATGAGGTAAAAATCTACAATCTCTGGCATCCAATGAAACATCAAGCCCATACAGGGGCAAACAAGCCACACAGGAAAGCAAGCAGCCACAACTGGCCAACCTAAACAGGTATAAAAGAGAAGTATGCAGTACCCAGGCTTTGAACTCAGGACCTCATGTTCTCAACTTCATCGCTGGCATTCAGTTGAGCTATGCTTCTAGTTCAGTGTTTGATTGGTTAATTAAGAGTAGTCTCACACTTTAATGTAGGGCATTAAAATGTGATCTTTAAGGCTCAGCTTCCTGAGTAGCTAGGATTACAGGTGTGAGCTATTGGCACCTGGCCAAATCATTCTTTTATTCTCTATGTTCAAAATGTTAGCTCATATATGGTCTTTTGACATGATCCAGACTTTTTACAAAGGTACAACACCCATTCAATGGGGATATCTCAGTCTTTGTAATGAGTGGTGGGGAGAACTGTGCATCCGTCCATATGCAGAAGGAATCTGGGGTCCGTACTGCTTCCACAATGCCCACGTTGCTCTCTGTTCCCACTGGGGTTCAGGGAAAGCGGGAAAGGAGATCTTTGCATCTTGACTGTAACAAAGCAGACTGCCTGCAAACCCACTAGTGGTAAAAATGTCTAGAAAGCAACTGGCTGCAAAAGTCCTGGTCCTGGGGCACTTTGTGAAATTAAACCTCATTATAAGTTCATTGGCCTTCTCATTTGCAAACTCCTTTTCAGTATTTGATTCAAGAAGTGGCTAGGACTTGCCAACAGAGCTGAGCTTCAGCTTTTAGTAGCTTTTTGGAGGTAAGCAATATCTATCTAGTTGGCCTTTTGGAAGACACCAAACTCTGTACTATCTATGCCAGACACATAATAACTATGTCAAAAGAGATTCAACTAGGGGCTGGGAAGGTGGCTCAGTGGTAGAGCGCTTGCCTTGCATGCATGAGGCCCTGGGTTCGATTCCCCAGCCCCACATAAGCAAAAAGAAAAAAAGCCGGAAGTGGTGCTGTGGCTCAAGTGGTAGAGTGGTAGCCTTGAGCTGAAAAGCTGAGGGACAATGCCCATGCCCAGAGTTCAGGCCCCACAACTGGACCCAAAACAAAACAAAAGAAAAGAGATTCAACTAGCTGACTGCTAGTGTTTCATGCCTGTAATCCTAGCTACTCAGAAGGCTGAGATCTGAGGACCACAGTTCAAAGCTAGCCTGGGCAGAAAGTCTGAGATTCTTTTTTGTGTCCATCATGGGGCTTGAACTCTAGGCCTGAGTGCTGTGCCCCAGCTCTTCAGCTCAAGGCTAGTGCTCTACCACTTGAGCCATAGTGCCACTTCTGGCTTTTTTTGCTTATGTGGTGCTGAGGAATTGAACCCAAGGCCTCATGCATGCAAGGCAAGCGCTCTACCACTGAGCCACCTTCCCAGCCCCACTTCCAGTTTTCTAGTGGTAATTGGAGATCAGAGTTTCACAGACTTTCCTGCTCAGGCTGGCTTTGAATAGTGATCCTCAGATCTCAGCCTCCTGAGTAGCTAGGAGTACAGGCCTGAGCCACCAGTGCCTGGCTGTGATATTCATATTTCCAATTAACCACCACAAAACTGAAGTGATGTTGGGGTTCAAAGTGGTAGAGCACTAGCCTTGTGCAAAAAAGAAAAGAAAAAGAGCTCAGGGACAATGCCCATTAGGCCTTGAGTTTAAACCCCACAACTGACAAAAAAAAAACAAAAAACAAAAAAACAACAGACACTCAACTAGAGTCGGGTGCTAATGGCTCATGCTTGTAATCTGAGCTACTCAGGAGGCTGAGATCTGAGGATCACAGTTCAAAGCCAGCCTGGGCAGGGAAAGTCTGTGAGGCAATTATCTCCAATTAAACACTGGAAAGTTGGAAGTAGAATGGTGGCTCAAGTGGTGGAGTGCAGTCTTGAGCATAAAAGTTCAGTGACAGCACCCAGGCCCTGAGTTCATGCCCCATGACTAGCACAAAAAAAGAAAAAAGAGGAAATAAAAAAGTCTCGGGCTGGGAAGGTGGCTCAGTGGTAGAGTGCTTGCCTTGTATGCATGAGGCCCTGGGTTCGATTCCTCAGTACCACCTAAGCAGAAAAAGCCAGAAGTGGTGCTGTAGCTCAAGTGGTAGAGTGCTAGCCTTGAACAAAAGAAGTTCAGGGACAATGCCCAGGCCAACTTCAAGCCCCAGGACTGCCCCTCCAACCCCCACCAAAAAAACAAAAAATAAAAATAAAAGCATTAAAGAAAGCTTTGTGCCCAGTGCCGGTGGCTCACGCCTGTAATCCTAGCTTCTCAGGAGGCTGAGATCTGAGGATCATGGTTCAAAGCCAGCCGGGGCAGGAAAGTCCATGAGACTTTTATCTCCAATAAACCACTAGAAAGCCAGAAGTGGTGCTGTAGCTCAAGTGGTAGAGCACTCACCTTGAGATGAAGATGAAGAGCACAGGGACAGCACCCAAGCCCAGAGTTCAACCCCCATGACTGACAAAAAAAAAGGGGGGGCTGGGAAGGTGGCTCAGTGGTAGAGTGCCTGCCTTACACGCATGAGGCCCTGGGTTTGATTCCTCAGCACCACTTAAACAGAAAAAGCTGGAAGTGGCACTGTGGCTTAAGTGGTAGAGTGCTGGCCTTGAGCTGAAGAGCTGAGGGACAGCGTCCAGGCCGAATTCAGGCCCCAAAACCAAAAAAAAAAAAAAAAGGCGGTTTTTTTTTTTTTGGTTGGTTGTGGGGCTTGAACTTTGAGCCACAGCACCACTTCTGGAGATAAAGAGTCTCAGGGAGACTTTCCTGCCCAGGATGACCTCGAACTGAGATCCTCAGATCTCAGCCTTCTGAGCAGCTAGGATTATAAGATGTGAGCCACTGGCACCCCACAGGGGATGGAGCTTTGAAAGCGACCATTCCACCCAAGCTAACTGGGGGATGCTGTCGTACCTCGCCCTTACACATGACTTGAGACACAACAACAGGACAATGGTATTTTTATTTACAATTAGACCAAAAAAAGGCATACAGGCATTTTTCTTTAATTAAAAATAATGATGATTTAAAAAGTCAAAAAAATCGACAATGGTTGAACCCTTGGAAGAGTCCCATTTCCCCACTCCCTCCCAAAAGAATCTCTTAGGGAAAATATTCAAAATTTGAATGAACAAAAGACTCCTGATCATTCTCTACTGTTTGGGTCCCCTTCTCTCCAACCTGATTCATGGTGGGTGCTGCCTGGTGCTGAGGAGTCACTGTGAGGGGAGACTGAGTTCACTGGTTCGACTCTCGGCACTGGAGCTGGCCAGGCCCCCAGGAGACCGGGGCAGCGAGGGCTGGGTGCGTTTTAAGTATCACCAGCATCCTGAGTTATCTCACAGTGGGGTCCCAAAGGACTCAAACCCCAATCTCACAATAGATTTGGTCTCTTGCAATGTAAGAGTAAATGTCTGTGACTTGCGCGGGGTGGGCAGGGGTGGGAAGAGCTGGGGGCTTGTAGAGGCACCAGGCCGGCTACGTGACCACCTCTTTCCAGCCTGGAGACCCTGGGGAAGGAACAATCAAACTTACCTTCATCTTCCTCTCACAGCAGTTTTCTGGGTAGCCTCAAAAGAATTAGGGTGGGAGGTGGTGGGGTTGGGTCTGGCTAGAAGAACTGAGAAATGCTGAGTCCGGGGGATGTCAGGGAAGAGTGTGTCCTTCCCAGACACCTAAAGGAGGGGATCTGAGGACCTGAGGCCTCTTCCTTCTGCCCTGGAAGTGGGGCAGGAGGAGGTCTGCCACCAGCACACTTTGACAGAGTGGCACCCCCAAGTAAAGAATGGGGGGGGGAAGGAAGTAATCCTGAAGGGCAAGTACTCTAGCAGCCTCAGCCACCCCTTCCCTGACAGACGTGTGGACCCTTGGCTCTGCAGATACTTGGCCCCAGGTCCAGGGTTTCTTGGCACAAGAACAGTTCATTGCAGGACTCTTCTCTTCCTCTTCACTGGTTAACAGACTCCAGCTGCTCTGCTCAGGGAGCGTCCTGCTGTCCTAAAGAACCTCAGCCAGCACTTCCCAAGACCTCCTTGTAGCAACCAAGGCCTCAGCTTGCTCCTGGTGAGAGGATGAGTGGAGGCACAGCCGGGGGAGAGGGAGGGAGAGGGTCTGCCAGAGGCTGGTTGGCACCGAGGGCGATGTCCAGGTTAGGCCTGTGCTGTGTCTCGGCATTGGCGGTGAGGCTGGGCAGCGAAAGGCTCAGAACCCTTACTTCTGGCCCCCGTGTTTCCTTTTCCAGTTAGTGGTAGGATGGCCAACAGCCCTGAGGAACTGGGGTAGAGACAGTGACCAAAAACCAATATCTTGGTGGATTTATCCATCCTGGATCCATTTGCTTTAAAAAAACAGTAACAGCAACAAAAATGAACGAAGGAAATAAAACCCCCAACCAAAAATAAACCTGAATAAACAGGTCAGAGAGCTCTTAGTGGAGGGAATTTTTTTAGCACTGAAGAAAAAAAAAGGGAAAAGACTCCCACAAAACAAAACAAAAACAAAATAAAAACTCATCCCTCACAGAATTGGAATAAGATAAAGAAAAATGTAAGATTTATCTAAAGGCCTCCCCACCCCCACGCAGCCCCAGGATCCAGGAACACCGTGCCAGGAGTTGCATTCCAAATGAGCAGGAGTTATTTTATTTCGTGTGCCTGCAGTTCCCCCACGCAGGGTGGCTTCCTGTCCGAGGACATTGCGGGCCTGGCCATAGTCCACCCCAGTCAGTCAATCTTCACAGCAGCATAAATCTTGCGGACAAACATGTAGGCTGCATAGAAGCCAATGGTGCCCGTGAGCAGCCAGAAGGACAAGACCATGAGGGCTGTGTAGCCAAAGTAGAGGAGAGATGGGATGAACTCGACGATGTCCAGCTGGGGCAAGGACAGAGAGAATGGAGGAGTGCTTTAGTGACAGGCAGCCACAGCTCACTGGGGGTCCTTACTGTCACCCTCATCTTGTGCTGAAATGGCCACCTGGCCAGGGATGGGGCCAGGTGAACCCTCATTTGCACCAGGGGCCAGGTAAGAACACCACAGGCAAGAATGGTCACGGCTGTGCCACTGCCTGGTCCTTCACAGTCCCCATAGTAACAACTCTGGATGGCTGGGACAGCAGCCAGGGAGTGGGGAGGGATGTTCTAGGAGAGGTGTCTAGCATTTCCTTTTTTCTTTTCTTTGGGTCCGGTCATGGGGCCTGAACTCTGGGCCTGGGTGCTGTCCCTCAGCTTTTCAGCTCAAGGCTAGCGTTCTACCACTTGAGCCACAGCGCCACTGCCAGCTTTTTTCTTTTTGCTTATGTGGTGCTGAGGATTCGAACCCAGGGCCTCATGCATGCAAGGCAAGCGCTCTACCACTGAGCCACCTTCCCAGCCCTAGCATTTCCATCTTAAGGACAAAGAGTCTTTACCAGTTTGCCTCAACCTTCACTCCTCACCTCAAGCAAGCTGGTCACCTATGTAAACATTTCACAATGACCTTCCCTTCCCCGTCTTCTTCTGTTTTCCTCCCTTCTCTCCTCTCCCTTCCCCTCCCTCTCTAGTCATTCCCTCCACCCCCAACCCATTCCAGCCTAAGGCTTGATCTTTTTTTGCTGAAGGCTAGAGCTCTACCACTTGAGCCAGAGCTCCACTTTTGGCTTTTTTGGTGCTTAATCAGAGATAGGAGTTTCATGAACTTTCCTACTCAGGCTGGCTATGAACTGCAATTCTCAGATCTCAGCCTCCTGAGTAGCTAGGATTACAGGCATGAGCCACTGGCACCCAGATTCACGGTAATTTTCATCTTGGAGTATATCAGCATCCTCTGTGACTGGGGTAGAGTTTGAAGGTCTGGGAAGAGGTATTAGGGAATCTGTGTGATGGTACTGTTAGCAGAGAATGAAATCTGGAACTGTGGTATCAAAATACACCCAGGGTGCCAGGTTTGAGTGACATCTAGGGCTCATGGACAGATGCATGGCTACAAAATGCCAGGAGCCAGCAGAAAATAAGAAGTAAAAAACAAAAACAGACCTTCTAAGCCACCTTGTCAAGCTCCATCTCCTATCTGTCCCAGAAGTATTCTTCCTTTCTTTTTTTTGTCAGTCATGAGCCTGGGTGCTGTTCCTGAGCTTTTTTGCTCAAGGCAAGTGCTCTACTACTTGAGCCACAGTGCCATTTCTGGTTTTCTGCTGGTTAATTGGAGATAAGAGCTTCATAGACTTTCCTGCCAGGACTGGCTTTGAATCGTGATCCTCAGATCTCAGCCTCCTGACTAGCTAGGATTATAGGTATGAGTCACCAGCATCCAGCTCAGAAATGTTTTTATGGCTACAGATAGGGTGAGGGTAACAGGGACCTGGGCAAGGTGGGAGGGATGGGCACTGGTCAAACCAGGAAAGGGATGAGCAAAACGCAGGCTGGAAGGGCCCTAGTTTTATACTGTGGCTGGAAGAATTGGTGCTTTGACCGAGAAGGCAGACTAGGGCAGAAGGAGGAAGGACAGGAGGCTATGAAAAGATCTCTAGCTTTTGTCCAACAGAGTTTCCTGTCTTCCCTTCTCCAAGAGTTCTGAGAAACACTCTTGCTATCTTGTTCAGCTGGGGACGTTGACTGTAGTACAAAACCTAAGCTGTAAGTGGGGATGGGAGGGAAAAAGTGAGAGAGAGAGAGGGAAGAGGTGACACTGTCAAAAAAGAAATGTTATTTATCTGACATGTAACTGTAACCCCTCTGTATACCACCTTTATAAAGCAGGTCAATCAGTGCACAGTATTCTGCTGGGCTGGATAAATCTGAACAATGGGCATATAACCTCAGCAAAGCCAATGTAGTCTTCCCTGGAATAAATATGAAATGGCAGAAGACCTTTTTTTTTTTTTTTTTGGTGCTGGTCATGGGCTTGAACTTAGGATTTGGGCTCTGTGCCTCACCTTTTTTTGTTTACAGTTATAGTGCTCTACCACTTGAGCCACAGCTCTACTTCTGGCTTTTTTGGTAGTTTATTGGAGGTAAGAGTCTCATGGGCTTTCCTGACCAGGCTGGCTTTGAATCACGATCTCAGCTTCCTGAGTAGCTAGGATGACAGGAGTGAGCCATTGGCACTCTGTTAAAAAGACCTTTTACTCTGAGGCTTCTAATGGCCATCTTCCCACCTTGTGGAAAGATCCTAGTTGCAGACTGAAGCCAAAAGAGATATACAGATTAAGGTGTGAGCACAGAGCTCTGATATTTTTCAGATCATGGATCTAATAACATCTGAAGCTAGAGCAGCAATTCACATTCACTGTAGAGATTAGATTTGTCCTGAGAATCCTAGAAATAGTACTATAGTCTGCTAGGTGCTGGTGGTTCACACCTGTAATCATAGCTACTTAGGGTAGAAAAGTCTGTGCGATTCTTATCTCCAAAATACCCAGTAAAGCAAGGTGCTGGTGGCTCACGCCTATAATCCTAGCTACTCCGGAGACTGTAATAGGACGATTATGATCAAGTTAGCTTAGGCAGAAAAGTATATGAAACACCTAACTCCCAATTAACCACTAAAAAGCCTAAGTGGAGCTGTGGCTTAAGTGGTAGAGCACCAGCCTTAAGTGAAAAAGCTAAAGGACCCGGAGATACTGGTTCCCCCCCCCCCAGCATCCTTGTTGCCAAGCCACCTGAGGGGACTACGGAGATCCCCTAAAGAGAGTGGTACCTTGTTAACAAAGTAAAAGATGGCATAGACCAGGACGTAGAATGCCGATCCCCCGGAAACAAGGAAATTCCTCCACCACCAGCGGTAATCCTGAGGAAGAAGGGAAGGAAGAGTGACCTCAAGTCTCCAAGGCCTTTTCCCACCATGTTTCCCAGATCTATGGAATCATAGATGAAAGATAACTTTTATTGTTTATAAATTATACCTGACAAAAAAACACTCATCAGAAAAAAGTAGTAAGAATGTGTTTTCATGAGCCGTGCTTACCATATGTCAGGCACTGTTCTGAGTGCTGCTTATGAATTGGCTCATTTAGTACCTGAAGCAGCCTCCCTGACAGCAGCAGGCACGGAGGCTGCTGGTCTTTCCCACTCTGCAAGAACTAGGCCTAGAAGCAAGGTAGGCCTCCACTCTGTACCTGCCAGTTAAGAGAAACTACTGGAGTGGACTCAATACTGAAGGTCCTACTGTCCTTCACTGAGCTGTGGTGACTGTCCCATACAACCCAAGCGGCGGTAGGTGTCATCAACCAGTGTACAAATGAGACCCAGCAGTTTGGAGAAACACGTGACCCACAGAACCCAGACATGGGCTTTGCATAGCTCTACCAACCTGTTCAGTGCTAAATCCAGCCACTTCAGCCCACCCCTTCCCCCTTCCCCTCACCTCTGCACATAGCTGGAAATACACCATGACGATGCTGATTTGTGAACAGGACACCACCAGGATGATGAAAACGAGGAACAGGAAGCCAAAGAGGTAATAGAACTGATTTTCCCAGATGGCCTGTGAATATACCGACGTGGTCTTCAGCTGGTCTGCCTCAGCTCAACTGTCCCTCCCCTGAGGCAGGAATGGAGATGCCAGCATGGCACTATTGGGTCTGGCACGGGGGCAGGGGAAAAGCCTGATTGCTCTTAGGAACTGCTCTGGGTGATCATGTTCTGGGTAGGTCCTGGCCTAAATCTGCCAGCATGAACAGCGGCCACCACCTCTCAGGAGCAGCGTACCCATGCCAGCCAGGGGTTATGCTATACCGCAGGTGAGCTATGCAAGCTTGGCCTTTTATTTTATTTTGGTGGTCCTGGGGTTCTGACTTGGGACCTTGCACTTGCTAGGCAGGTATTCCTCAGGAAGGGTAGACATTTGTAGAGTGCTGACTTGGAGCATGGCACCACTAGTGCTGGGCATGTGGCTGGGTCAGCTAGACCTACATGAACTGGCATCTCCCTGCTGGCTTTCACATGGGCACTTTCAGACAGAAGCACTCCTGGTCACCATAGCAACATTTACTAAATGCCAAGAGCCTTTGCATTTGCTCTAGCTTGGCATCCTGGGGATGTTTCTGCCTACTTACCTCAAGTTTTGGAGAATGTTGACAGGCAAAGACAGGAAAGGACCCAGAAATGGAAGCAGATGGGACAATGCTATCAATCATGCCTGCAATGATGGCAGTGACTGCCTGCAGTATCAGAGAGCAGCATCCATGTACCAGACAGGTGCACATGACATGCTCCTTTAATTCTGAATGCTGTCCCTTCAGGCAGGACTGCTAACTGACTTTAGGGTGAAGAGCAGGGCTCTTGCACTTTCATAGGCAGTGGGAAGGAGAGGAGGCCTGTGGAGCCACATAGTGGAGGGGGAGGGTAGGCAGCAGTGTACTTACACTAAAGATGAAAAACAGCTCAATGAACATGGCACCGAAGGGCAGGATTCCAGCCATGAGGATGCTGCAGCAGAGAATGAGAGTTAATAGTGCTCAAGTCCTGGCCACAAGGAAGCCAGGTTCCCTCCCAAGACTACACAGGTGGTGATCTCTGTCTTTTCCATGCTGTGCTACTATGACAACCTTGCGAGAGGTTGGCCTTTTTCTCCTCAGTTCATAAGATGAGAACTGAGGTAGAGAGGGTGGGTGGCCTTAACCTGTGTTATCAGGCCCTTTGTCCCTCCCCTTCCCTGTCCTGGTTCATATAACACCACGTCTAGCTGCAGCCTGGCCCATTCATTAGGCCGCCTTGCATAATGTCTACTGGTGTATGTGCTGCTGACCTTTGGGCACTGGCTACTTCACCCTGGAGGAGAGGCCCTCTCCCATGGCCTCCCCAGCAAGTGGCTTAGAGTGCTGGTGTCGCCCACCCCACAGGCCCTCCTTCTGTTCTTGCCTCTGCTAGAAGACTCACCCCACAAATCGGTTCATGTACCACCTCTGTTCAGGGATCTGCCGGGGAATCTGGTTGGTGCGTACGGGGTTGTCATATGGCTGCTTGCGAAAGCCAAAGTAGTAGCCCAAGTAGACGAGGGGCAGGGATATCCCAAACCACATGCATAGCAGAGCCACCATGGTGGGAAATGGCACCTGTAGACACAGCACTGTGAGGCCCCCACCAGGCCGATGCCCAAGATGGGGGTTAGACAGGAGGGAGAGGGACATCCTGGACTCCCAGGAAGGAGAAGCCACAAGCATGGCAGGCCACCTCAGTGGGGAAGGGGCTTCTAACTCCTCTTTGCTCAAGAGCTCCTGGTCAGAATCTGGGCCAAGAACTTCCTGTGAGGAGAGCAGGGAGTGGCTGGGGGACCATCTGTGCTCCCAGTGATGAGGGAATGCCACTTCCCAGGAGCTTGTCATCCAGGGAGGAAGGGGGAGAAAAGGAAAGCAAAGGACTGAGAACCTGAAGGGAACACAAAGGGAAGGAAATGACATGTAATCCACTAAGTGAAGAGAAAAAGGGAAGTACAAGACTGTACAAAGTGATTCCAGTCCCTTCAAAACACCACCACAATACACTTCTAAGTGAGAAAAGCAGGTTATAACACTGTACATTTAAGACTTCACTTCAGTAAGAATATAGTATTTATATGATCTGTGTCGAGAAAGGCCTACACCAAAAAAGTTTAACAGCATTTTTCCTAATGTGTGAGGATTGATTTTTCACGTTCTTTCTCATCTTCTGTTGTGATTATTAAGTTGTTATAAAATTCATGCAAAGCTAGGTACTGATGACTTGTGCCTGTAATCCTAGCTACTCAAGAGGCTCAGATCTGAGGACCACGGTTTGAAGCCAGTCTAGGCAGGAAAGTACATAAGAGGCTCAGATCTGAGGACCACGGTTTGAAGCCAGTCTAGGCAGGAAAGTACATAAGACCCCTATCTCCAATTAACCATCAAAAAGCTGGAAGTGGAGCTTTGGCTCAAGCACTGGAGTATCAGCCTTGAGCATAAAAGCTCAGGGACAGCTCCTAGGCTCTAAATTCGTTATAGGACTGACACACACACACACACACACACACACACACACACACACCACACACACACACACACACACACACACACACACACACACACACACACACACACACACACACACACACACACACACACACACAATGTGTTTATAATTGTTTTAAATTACATAATTCGATTTTATTTATTATTTATTAATTTTGGGTCCAGTCGTGGGGCCTGAACTCTGGGCCTGGGTGCTGTCTCTCAGCTCTTCAGCTCAAAGCTAGCGCTCTACCACTTGAGCCACAGCGCCACTTCCGGCTTTTTTTCTTTTTGTTTATGTGGTGCTCAGGAATCGAACCCAGGGACTCAGGCATGCAAGGCAAGCGCTTTTTATTATTATTATTTTTTTGTTGGTTGTGGGGCTTGAACTCTGGGCCTGGGCACTGTCCCTCAGCTCTTCAGCTCAAGGTCAGTGCTCTACCACTTGACCCATAGCACCACTTCTGGCCTTTTGTTTATGTGGTGCTGAGGAATTGAACCCAGGGCCTCAGGCATATGAGGCAAGAACTCTACCGCTGAGCCACCTTCCTAGCCCATAATTCCATTTTAAATATATCTATTAAACAGTTTGAAAGAACATGTATTAAAGATTTCTATAGTATTTGTCTGGGTGGTTGGACTGTAGGTTATTTTGAATTTCTAAACTCCTTTGTACTTTCCAAAATTTCTATGAGTGTTAGAATGCACAACTGGCAGCTAGGAGGAAAAAGCTGAAGTGAGGAGGAACACAGGTATAAAAGAGGAAGTGAGAGGACGATTAGTTTCTCTTCCTTCAAAGGCTTCCTAAGCCTCCCTGGGACTCAATTTGAACTCACCCAGGGACCCTAGGGATGGGGCAGGTGGTTCTGCATGCTGGGGTGCAAATGCCTGTCCCACCTCTACCACAGCGCTAATTAACTAAGACCCCATTCTCCCCACCCATCCCACTGAGGCAGTTGCTGGCAACAGTGCCTGGGACTGGCAAGTTGCCTACTCTCAGAGCCATGTGCCTCTTCCCATTGTCTGCTTCCACCTACAGTGGAGGGCAGTGAGGGCAGACACTAGGAGCAAAGCCCTGTTATAGGACACTGGCCCAATTTACTTGCACCTAGCAGCTCTCGCCTGATGAGATAGGGGAATTCCCCAGCTGAGCCCTGGCCTATGGAAACCGCCCTTTCAAGAAGTGAACTTTGGCCAGCTGTCCACAGAGAGACCAGGGACAGGCACTGGTGACAATGGGCAATGCTGGGGAAACCCCAGCCAAGCTTCAACCCCCAAGGTTGGGAATAGAACTTTGGGAACTTAGAAAAGGGAAGAAACAGCAGGAAGTGACCTTGGGGAACAGGGCTAGACACCATTGGCCTTCTGTACTGGGGAAGGACTGGAAGGTGGAGGAGGGGCACTTACCGCTCCTGACGAGTGCTTTCCCCAGATGAAGCAATTCAGTATAAAGCAAATGCCAAAAACCACTCCAGGGTACAGGGTCGCCGTCTGGGAGCAAGAGGAGCCAGGTTGGGGAGCTGTACTTTGGGAGTTCCTTGGGACCCAATGGAGCTTCCCCACCACAGGCTTCAACTGGTCCTTTAGAACATAGCTCAATCTCAATTCCTTCTCTCGCCCAGAGGTAGGCCTGCAAAGGCCTCTCAGATCCCTGGAGCTGCTGCTTCCTGCTTTCAAAACACCGTAATTATAGAAAAGTTCTACTTAAGGTTTTTGGCATTTAGCAGAACCACACTATGATGTGGGATAGCTGGGGTGTACTAAATACGTTTTGAACTCTGGATAGATACTATCAACTCAGGTTGGGGTCATTTGCTTTTCTCCAAAAGATGTAGTCCCATCACTCAGAATGTCATAGCAACTAAATAACAGTTGCTGAATACATGACTAAAAGGCTTCAATCCAAACCATCTAGAGTAATGCTCAAATATTAGGGATGGCAAATGGCAGGCTTTACATGTCCCATCTAACCCTCACTATAGGTTTAGAAATGGACTAATAGCCCCTTTTCTTACTTTTTCATTTTTTGCAATACTAGGATTTGAACTGAAAGGCCTGTGCTTGCTAGGCAAATGCTCTACCACTTAAGCCATTCTTATCTCTTTTAAAGATGAGGGTATTGGCCAGGAGCGGGTGGCTCATGTTTATAATCCTAGCTTCTCAAGAAGCTGAGATATGAGGATCATGGTTTGAAGCCAGCCCAGGTAAGAAAATCCATGAGACTCTTATCTCCAATTAACCACCAGAAAACTGGAAGTGGTACTGTGGTTCAAGTGGTAGTGTGCTCACCTTGAGCTGAAGAGCTCAAGGCTAATGTGCAGGCCATGAATTCAAGCCTTGGGATTGGTACCAACAAGAAAAAAGAAAGAAAGATGAAGGCACTGAGGCTCTTTTCCTACATTTGTTAAGGATAAATCCAGGAAGGCTAAGACTCTAGAGCCCATGTTCTGGGAGCAAGAGGGGACAGGTTGGGAAGCTGCACTTGAGTGGATCCGGAGGACCCTTTGGGGCTCCCACATCAGAGACTTCAAACCCACCCAGCTCAAGTACAATTTCTTCCCTAACCCAGAATCAGAGGTTCTCATCAAAATCAGAGATCCTCAAGTCAGAATCTCTGGGACGTGGATCTGAGCACAGGAAACCAAAGCTCTAGACTTATACTTGAGTCCACACTGGGACTACCAGGCTTAGAGATTGCTGTCACACCATAATGACAACAGATCTCAAGTTTTTTTTTGAGCAATCGAGCACTCAGCCTCTACTGCCAGTTCCATCTTTGGGATGCCAAAGATGCCCTTCCTACCAACACTTGGTAATTGTTCTATCCCAAGGTTTCCTGAGTGCCCATGCTGTACCATGGGCCTTACGTACAGTCTCTCCATCCATATAATCCTAAAAGCAGATAACCCCATTGGAGACAGTTAAGAAATATGTAGGTCCAGGACTGGGTCTGGACAATTCCCCAACCCAAGCATTCTCTTCTGGCTGTTTCTCCATGCTCCAATGTCAATTCATCCCATCCTATGTTCTATTCTTCACCCTGATGTGGAGCAGGAATTCCTCATATGCCTTTCTGGTTGAAATTTATGATCTAGACACTATCAGAAATGAAGTCTATTTATTAATAAAGGAAAAAGCTCCAGGGAGAAGGGGCTCAGGACTCCCTGAGGGGAGGGAAGGGCAGCAGCTTATCTTTCCTAGAGAGCAAAAGGGCCATCAAATCTGGAAAACAGTACACAGTTCTCTCTATACTGTTAGCAGAGTGTTCTCCTGTGTCAAGTTGATGGAAATTTTGCATCCTTGTATTCTTTTGCTCGAGCCATCCAACTATCAAGGCTTAAAATGCCTAAGTTTAATGCTTTCTGCTTATAGACAGGGCAAGTAGGGCCCTGTGATGCCTTGTTTGTAGCCTATGGGTAAGGGCCCAAAATGGCTGGCCCTCGGCCTAAGCCCTTCCTGCTGTCACACCACCATTCAGCTTCCACTAGCACCTGGGGCCACTCCTGAGAGGCCCAGGACAAGAGACTCTCAGGCACCAATGACACTGGGAGAAGATCAGGATACTTACACAGAAGGCTCCTTTCTTCCACCGATGGCCTTTTAGAGTGCGATAGAGTCGGCCAGCAGAAAATCCACCAAACACCCTGTGGGAAAAGGCAAGGTCCATACCAAGGGGCAGTTAGTGGCATGAAGCAGGCTTGGCTGGCCTCTGGGAGCTTGCTCACATACACCTACCCCATGAACATGAAGAGGAAGCAGGCTGTGGTCATGAGTGCTCCTCGGCTGGAGGGTGACAGCATCCCAAGCATGGCCACAACTGCGGAGGGAGGGAAGGCAGAGTCAGAGGGGCTGATTGCCAGGGCATCAGCTCCCACAAGAGTGGGGGAAGGCTAACAGGCCCCTGGGCAGATGAGCCTAGATAAGGCTTCCTTTCCCCTTGGTCTTCTCAATGACACAGGCCCTTACCCTCTACAGGAAAAGACTGGGTGTCCTAGCTGAGGCTCAGGGGGTGCAGTAGCTGCTAGGTATTGGCTGGATGAATCTTCTCTGTCAGTCTTGGTGCTTGAACTCAGGGCCTAGGTGCTGTCCCTGAACTTCTTTTGCTCAAGGCTAGTGCTCTTCAAACTTGAGCCATATTTCCACTTCTGTCTTTTGGTAGTTAATTGGAGAAAAGAGTGTCATGGAATTCCTTCCCAGGCTGGCTTCGAACCATGATCCTCAGATCTCAGCCTTCTGAGTAGCTAGAATTATAGGTGTGAGCCACTGGCACCTGGCCTGCAGCTGCCAGTCCACAGAAAACTTGCAATGAGCCAGGCCCATGCTGAGAACACTAAATACCAGCTCAGTGAACATGCCTTATCAACTCTGCAAGGCAGAGATTATTTTTTCCATCTGGAAACTGGGCCTACAAGGTTAAGTAAGTGGCTGTCAAAGGTTACAGAGCTTAGAGATGGAGATACAAATTTAGGTAGACTGACTCTAGAGCTATCTGTAACTCATTCCTATATGAGTGTTTTATAATTGTAAAAGAAAAACAAAACAAAAGAAGATATAAGTCCAATCTTGACCCTGGTTCTAGGTCAGTTACTTCCCCTGACTGAAACCAAGAGCAATCTCAACGTACTGATGTGCTGCTTTCCTGATGGAGTAACACGGTATGCTTGAAACAGAGCTGGACAGCTGTAAGGAAAAACACCATTCCCAGGTTCTGGGGCTGGGACAGCTGTCTTCCCAGAGATGCTGGCATGCCTGCTTGATGCTTAGTCCTTGGGAGCCCTCTCCTCTACTAAAGGCACTTGGAGAGGGGGCCATGCCTTGGAATCAGGCCTTGTTCCTATGGGCTCAATACTCGGCTCTCTGGGTCCACTCACAGATGACGATGAGGATCATACAGAACAGCTGAATGCCTGAACCCAGCAGGGAGCTGAGGATCATGGGGTACTGAGGTGGCCGGAAGACATCACCATGCACAAGCTTCCACCCAGATTCCTCCATGGTATCTTCCTGCAGCAAAAGGTGAAGAATGTAGCAGGTGCATGAGAAAAGGGCAGCTACCTCAGGGACCACTCCCATCAAATCAGGTCTCCTGATCCCACTGAGGGCCCCTCAGCTATCCATTAGTTCCAGCCCTGACATAGAAGTGTAAGTGATATGAGACAGTGCTTCTCAGAGAACTGTCACCTGGGGGGAAGAGGTCAAACAGGATGCGCATATCTGCATAAAAGGAAAATCTCTCCAATTCCGCAAACCTACTATATGGGAAAAATTATGCAAGGGTTGGGAATATGATTTAGTGGTAGAGTGCTTGCCTGGCATTCATGAAGCCTTGGGCTCAATTCCTCAGTACCACATGAACAGAAAAAGCTGGAAGTGGTGCTGTGGCTCAAGTGGTAGAGTGCCAGCCTTGAGCAAAGGAAGCTTGACAGTGCCCACCCTGCTCTGAGTTCAAGACCCAGTATTGGCACCAAAAAAAAAAAAAAAAAAGAGAGAGAGAGAGGTCAATATGGGCTCTGCCTCACATATAGACAAATAATAACAACAAAACAAACACAAAAATATGGTTTTAAAAAAGGACTTAAGTAATTTTTACACATTTCCTTTAGTCCTCTCTGCCTCTCTCTCTAGTGTGCCAGTTCGGAGGCTTGAACTTGGAGAGTAAGTGCTCTCCTAAAACTTCATTTTACCCAAGGCTACTGCTCTACCAGTTGAACCAGAGCTCCGTTTTTAGTTTTATTGGAAATGAGTCCCATAGACTTTCCTACCTGGGCTGGCTTCAAACTATGATCCTCAGATCTCAGCCTCCTGAGCCACTGGGACCCAAATTTTATAATAAAATTGTGATCCCACTGTGTACTTTGTTATTTTCAGATGGTATTTGCAAACATTTCATGCTAATAAATACTCTTTGAAATTAAACTTCAAAACTGCAATATCCTAGACCAAGTCATTTGTATTTTTGATTCTTAAGAATTACTGTGCCAGGGGCTGGGAAGGTGGCTCAGTGGTAGGGCGCTTGCCTTGCATGCCTGAGGCCCTGGGTTCGATTCCCCAGCACCATATAAGCAAAAAGAAAAAAAGAAGCCGGAAGTGGCGCTGTGGCTCAGGTGATAAGAGTACTAGCCTTGAGCTGAAGAGCTGAGGGACAGCGCCCAGGCCCAGAGTTCAGGCCCCATGACTGGACCCAAAAAAAAAGAATTACTGTGCCATAGAAAGTTACCTAATTTACAGTTCGGGGAGATGCACTACACTGTCAATTTCTTTTCAGAAAACTGCCAACTCATAGGAATATGCTTGTTACATGTTAAACTCGCCAACAATTAATACTATTAAAAACAAAACAGTGTGTGTGTGGCTCAAGTAATAGAACACTTGTCTAGCAATCTCTAGGTCCTAAGTTCAAACCCCCAGTGCTGCCAAAATAAAATAAAACCACTCCTGGCTGGGTATGGTAGTGAAAACCTGTGCCCAGCACTTAAGAGGCTGAAGCAAGGGCATGTCAAGTTTTAGGCCATGTCTCAACTTAAAAAAAAAAAAAGTGGCACTGTGGCTCAAGTGGTAGAGCGCTAGCCTTGAGCTGAAGAGCTGAGGGACAGGGCCCAGGCCCAGAGTTCAGGCCCCACGACTGGACACACACAAAAAATAAATAAAATAAAGGTATCAGTGCAACACATATTCTTAAAAAAAAAAGTCTGTGCTAATTTGATGATAAATAAAATCATCTTCTCATGATTGCTTGAATTCTCATTTTGGGAGCTATCTCTGAGGTAAAAACAATTCTTCCCAGGCACTGGGGCTCATGCTTATAATCTCAGCTACTCAGAGGCTGCGATCTAAGGATCATCAAAGCCAACCTTCAGGTATATGCCAAGATCTAGTTTAAGATTTGTTTTTTTTGTCACTGGGCTCTGAACTGTTTTTGCTCAAGGCTAGGGCTCTACCACTTTGAGCCACAATGCCACTTCTGGTTTAACTGGAGGTAAAAGTCTCATGGACTTTTCTGCCTGGATTAGTTTCAAACCATGAGACTCAGATCTCAGCCTCCTGAGTAGGATTACAGGCATGAGCCTGTAATTTTTTTTTTTGTCAGTCGTGGGGCTTGAACTCTGGGCCTAAGTGCTGTCCCTCAGCTCTTCAGCTCAAGGCGAGTGCTCTACCACTTGAGCTACAGCGCCACTTCCTTTTTTCTGGTGGTTTATTGGAGATAAGAGTTTCATGGACTTTCCTGCTGGGCTGGCTTTGAACCATGATCCTCAGATCTCAGCCTCCTGAGTAGCTAGGATTACAGGCGTGAACCATCAGTGCCCGGCTGGCTTAAGATTTTTATTATTTTTTTTTAATTTTATTTTATTTGTGAACATACTGTACAGAGGGGTTACAATTACATGGGCAGGATAATGCGTACATCTCTTACCCAGCATTGCAGCCTCCTCCTTTGTTTACCCTTCACATCCCTTCCCAGCCTCCCCCCCGGCTTAAGATTTTTAAATGTAAAATTAATCAAGTTTCTTCTTGTGACTTTTTCCATTGCCTTTATATTTTAAAATTAGAAACCCTCAACACTGTAGTCAGGGGATTTGATTTTTTTCTCCATTATTATTATTATAATATTTGCAGCAGTGGGATTTGAACTAAAAGTTTGCTAGGCAGACTCGCTATCACTTGAGGCATGCTTCCAGATGTTTTTGTTCTGTTTTCTTTTTTTCCCCCCTCCAGGTCCTAGGGTAAATCTGGGCCTGGGTGCTGAATTTCTTTTTGCTCAAGGCTAGTGCCCTACCTCTTGAGCCTAGCTTCACTTCTGGCCTTTCCTTTTCCCTGAAGTCATGGGGCTTGAACTCTAGGCCTAGGTGCTGTCTCTGAGCAATTCAACTCAAGGCGAGAGCTCTACCACTTGAGCTACAGCGCCACTTCTGGTTTTCTGGTGGTTAATTGGAGATAAAATCTCAGACTTTCCTGCCCAGAATGGCTCTGAACTGCAATCCTCAGATATCAGTCTCCTGAGTGGATAGGATTACAGGTGTGAGCCACTGGCACCCACCAACTTGCAGCTTTTTCTGAGTAGTTTATTGGAGGTAAGAGTCTCATGGACTTTATTGCCCAGGCTAGCTTTGAACCACAATCCTCAGATCTCAGCCTCCTAAATAGCTATGATTACAGGTGTGAGCCACTGGCCCCTGGTTCTGGTTATTTTTGAGAGGTTTCACTTTTTGCCTGGACCAGCTTTAACTGTAATTCCCTACTTATGCTTCCCGTGTATGATGACAAGCAGGTATCATTATGCCCACATTTTTCTGTTGGGAAGGTATCTTGCTAACTTTCTGTTCAGGCTGGCCTTGAATTCTCAATCTCTGCCTCTCAAGTGGCTAGGATTACAGGCATGGGACATGGGCTCATGCCTCCTCTTCCTCTTCCCAGTCTGGCAAGCTTAACACTCTACTGCTACCGTCCCTTCCTTCTTCCAGTCTATCCCTCCCCAGCCAAGACCTCGTACAATGTCATCCTCCTTGTTATAGTTGGCAATGTCCTTGCGGAGGGTCCGGATGATAATCATGCTCAGAATCCCTGAAACAGACAAGGTGAGGAACAATAGTCAAGAGCATCACTAACACAGCTATCTGGATTCCATGTGTGCCCTCCTCCTCCAAAAGGATCTGGCCATGTGACCACCTCAGCGTCTCCCTGGGGCAGAGCTCCACTCCAGCCAACTAGAGAGGTGTATGAAGAGAAGGGGCTGCAGGGATGGGTAGGGATGGGTACAAGCCTCTGCTTTTCATGTCTGAGAGGAGAGTTTCCAGTTTCTTCCATAGCCTGGCTTCTTCTAGCTACTGTAGTTCAGATTTCACAACAACCCTCTTTCATTCTGCCTTTACTCCTGCTACTCACTTTGCCAGGAACACCTTTCCTATGTGACTGCTTCCTATGCATCTCTCAAGATTCACCATCGGTATCTTCACCAATGAGTACCCTCAACCAGCCCAGAAACAAACCTTCCCCATTTGTCCTTTTTTTTCCCTACTTCTTTTAGGCAGCAGTGAAGTGACTAAGTGAATTAGCTGTATGACCTGAACTTTTATACTCAACTCGTGGGGCTGAGGGACAGATGTTGTGTGTGTGTGTATATAATGGTACTAGGGCCTGGACACAATCCCTTAGCTTTTTTTGCTCAAGGCTGGTGCTCTACCCCCTGAGCCACATATCCATTTCTGACTTTTTGCTGGTTAACTGGATTTACGAGTCTTTTCTGCTCAAGCTGGCTTCAAACCTCAATTCTCAGATCTCAGATTCCTGAGTAGCTAAGACTGTAGGTATTTGCAGCAGATCTTTATAAAGTGCTTAGGCAGTAGAGTGTCCGTGGATAAATATTTAATTACAGGGGACAGTCTGTGCTTCTCATGAGTCTAGTGATCAGCATCACTCCACCTCTTCCCTCCACTCTCACTGTCCAGCTTCCTGCCAAGCTTGTCTCACAAGGCCAGGACCCTTGTGGAAACAGTTTACCTGGGGTCTCTTGACTAGTGGCTCTGCCCTCGTTTGGAGAGGCCTACCCTAAAGTAGCCCTCCTTACCACTTTAACTTAAATACTACTACTTATTTGCTGTTTTGTTTCCCTTCCACTGTTAGTTTAGCTGACCTATTTAACACCATATCTCTGACTTCTGGCACAGGTCAAGTAATAATTGTCATTGAACAAATCAATGACTGAGTATGGACAGCTCTGTCTATCCAGAGCAGAGACTACCTCCTGATTATCTCTGTACTCCTGAGAGCTAGCTCGATGCCCTGCTGTCATTTTCTGACCCACGTTTGGCCATGAGAACACTTAAGAGAAGGGATGCCTCAGTCCCTTACTCTCCATCCCATCCTCTCCACCTTCAAGCACAGCGCTCTCACCTGACAGGAAGAAGACCACCACAACGGAGTTAATGATAGAAAACCAGTGGATCTGCACATCACTCATGGTCAGGTAAGTGTCCCAGCGAGAGGCCCATTTGATGTCACTTTCCTAGCAGGCAGGAAGAAGCACTTAGTTAGGCCTTCTGCCCTGGAATCCTGGCCCGGACCCTTGCCGAGAGTTCATGCCCCTTCTCACCTCCCAGTGCACAGAGTAGGTAAAGTATAGCTGATTCTCCTTGGTAGGGTCAATTTCTTGGGGTGAAGAGTTGGTACCCTCAGGCAGGGTACATGAACTCTTTTCATCTGCTTTGAGGTCTGTGAGAGACAGAGACTGTTCTTGTGGCCATTACCACTCCCAAGTGTTCTCCTTCTGGTGTCCTTAAGGCTTCCTGCTGTGGGACTGGGCCTCCAGTGTCTGGAGGCTGGGAGCGCAGCAGTCAACTGTGATTTTTATGGTGATATTCCCAAAGTTCTGACCTCCCAAAGGGCCTTTGGGGCTGCAGAGAGGCAGGTGCACAGGGACTCTAAGTGCCATCTTTACACCAGTCTATACTTGGTGCAAACATCCATTCATTCATTCACTCAGGCCCATTCCATACACACCAAAATGGTGCCTCACTACCACATTTGCTTACTGCCTACTCTGAAATCATCACTTAGTAATACACTCACTCGGATATGTTCCCCTTTCATTTGTTCATTCTGTCACCCATCTCTTATTCCACAAAGGCATCTATACATCCATTCAGCCTTTCACTCAGTGCCCAGTACTGTGCTGGATGCTGGAGATCTGTAATCTCAATAAGCCATTGCAGAAACAGAGACCTCAAATCATTCCATACATAGATGTAAAACCATATACTCACGGAGAGAGAGTGAGCCAGTATGATGCTCTGAAAGAACAGGATCTACATTTTATGAGACTTTTACGAATTACTTTGTTTGAAAGCCACATTCTAGAACTTTTCAAAAAGTCACCTCCTACCCCTCCATGGACCTAAGTTCAGGTCTGTTCTGCAGCTCAAGTACAACCTATGGTGTGTTAGTACTGATGTGCGAGGTAAAACTTCACCTATTCACTTGGGGCCCATCAGCACTGGGCTCTCAGACTCCTGTTGACCCTCAGCAACTGTAGCCTGTGCCAATCATTCATTCACAGAGGGAAAAAGAAGAAATAAATCATTGCTCTATGCTGTTTTCTGTACCCTTGCCCCTGGTTCTTCAACCCACAGATGAACTGGCTGCTTCCTATGTGTTTGGCCAAGTCACCAGCATACCTTCTGAGGTTGCTGGGAAGAGGTGAACTGGTAAGGGGTCCTGTTCACTACAGAGCACATGACAATTGTCCCTCACCTCCATCTTTGCTACTGAGAATATATGCATGACCTCTCTGTGGCTGAGATGAAAAGCATGCCCCACCCTGAGTGTGGAGGCCCAGGCCCATCCAGCCCTGCCCCTCTGGTCAGACCTCCCCACTCACCCTCCAGCCTGATGCTCTGGGGAATCACCTCGAAGCGGACGACACGGTACGTGTGTTCCTGATCCTCTTCCATGTCTTCCCGGTGATAGTAAAGGATGAACGAGAGGTGGTTGTGTAGGTAGATCTAGAGAGAAGCAATAAAGAGAACAAAACAGCTAGCAGTGAGGAAACAGTTTATCAGGGAAACCATCCTAGGCATCAGAGTGCACCTTGGCCCGGCTACATTAATCTTCCACAATCTCTGCCTTCTCCTGGAGGGCTCCATCTAGGGCTTCCTAGGCCTTTGCTTGTAGGCCTTCTACTCTCTGCCCTAATCTAGCTATTTGTACCACCTTCTAAAACACATGAGTGCACTCAGTCTCTCCAGCTCCTCTCTGCCCCCAGCCCTGTGCTAGGAAGGACTCTGATTTGACTGATACATCTGGCAAAGCCAGGAAGACTTTATACATGCTGTACAAACATGGAAACATAGCTCAAGGCTGTTTAGACAACTAGCAAGTAGTAGAAGCAGGATTCAACTCAGAGAGGCCATGGCTATCTTGCACACTGATCAAGTTCCAGGTTCTTTTCTTGGTTTTATCTTATAAAAACAGAATGTAATATTTTAGCAACTAAGCATTCACCTTCTTAGAGCACTGACCCAAAGCTACAGTGTTATGAAGGACCGCCCTCCCAGAGGCACTAGGAGAAATGTGCCCTAGCTAACTCTCCCCTCTTGTGTTCAGGCCTAGACCTGATTGTGTCCTTTTCTCTGTGGCCCCTTATGACTTGAGAGGTGTAGGGCCCCAGCCCACTGAGTGTTTCAAGGACACTCTACCTTATTGACATCTGTGAAGCCCAGCCGGTAGCCATGTTCAAACTGCACATCTTTTTCCTTCTTCTTGTCATCACTGTCACGGTTGGAGTACAGCTCTAGCCGGGTGGCCACAGGCAGGTTGTCGGCAATGCTGGAAACCCAAGGCCCCACTTAGTCCCTCTGGACCGCCTCTCCCATCCATCCCTTCCCGGTGTGAAAGCGAGGCCAGCAGGGCACAGAGGACAACTTACAGGTGGACGTAGTAATCTTCTGTGATACGCTCAGCCACCAGCCGGCTCTGCTCCACTGTCAAGGTCACTGGCTTGTTGGACTGGTTGCACAGCACTTCACATTTCTTCTCGCTGTTCATGAGAACCTGGAAAGGGGTGTTGACAATCCGGTCCCCTCTCAGCACCTCTCCTGCCATAAGAGAGACAGATGGAGCTCAGAGCTTCAGCCCTGAGTTTGCTGAGGTCAGCAGTCATGGAGCCGCCAGAGGCAGGGCAAAGTGGACTTCCACAGACATCACCAGCATTGCACCCAGCAGACAACCCTCTGCGTCAGGTGCTTGTACCCAGCCTGCCCCTCTAACCTGTCCTATCACACCCTTCCTTCCTTCCTTCCTTCTCTGTGCCCTAGTGCCAATAGTGCCTGCCTCAAAACTTAACTCCTTGTATACCAGTGGGCTTTACGTGGTGGCTTTCTGTTCCATGTACTGACTGAAAGCTCAATTTCCCTTCCTCATTTCCTGGGATGCTCTTCCTGGCTTTGTCACCTTTCTGTCCTAGCCTCCCTCCACAGAGACAGATGGTGGAGTGAGGAGAGACTGCTCTGACTTCAGGCCACCTGCTGTAGCATCTGCCCCTGCCACTTAGTACCTCAGCAGTCTTGCTCAGTCATTTACCTTCATTGAGCCTCAATTACCTATACAAAATGGGAGTTACAGGTGAGAAATAAAGGAGTCATTCAAGTCCCAGGCTCAGAGCAGAGCAGGAAGGCATCAAACACCATTTTCATTATCAGCATAAACTGTGCCATTTTTTTGTTTGTTTTAAAGCAGTTATACAGGGGGAGGGATTTCACACATTTACAATGTATTCCAACCAACTTCACCCCCTCTAAAACTCCTCTTGCCCTTCCTTTTTGGAGACGGGGTCTTGCTATATTGCCCAGGTAGGCCCTGAACTGTCAATCCTTCTGCTTCAGTCTCTGGAGTGCTGTCATTCTGTTTACCAGCCTCCAAGCCTAGGGGGAAGAAAGTGGGTTACCACATTGCACTGTCTTTTTTCTCTTTCTTGTGAGTATCATGTGTAGCCCAGCTGATCTGGGCTGATCTATATATGTTTTTATATGTCAGGGATGTTACTTTGTACAGTGTATTTATATTTTTGTTTTTGGTTCCTTTACTGGCTATGAGCTCTTTGAGGGGAAACATTATTTCCTATTTATTTGTCTTCAGATCCTAATTCAGGCAGGGAAGAGAGTGAGATCAAATCTAGAATCTAGCTGGGCATTGGTGGCTCATACCTGAAATCCTAGCTACTCCGGAGACTGAGATCTCAAGATTGTGGTTCAAAGCTACCCCAGGTAGGAAAATTCATAAGACTCTCATCTCCAACTAACCACAAAAGTTTGGTGGAAGTGGAGCTATGGCTCAAGTGGTAGGTAGATTGCTATCTTGAGTGAAAAGCCCAAAGACAGCACTTAGGTCCAGAGTTCAAGCCCCAGGACTGGCAAAAAATAAAAAAAATAAGGTAATAAAAAATCTAGAATATGCACTGACACATTATGTGCCTGTCTGTTGCCTAAGATAACTTTCTGTCAGACATCACGTTCACAGGCCCAGAGCAGCTCACTAGTATCAGCTAACCTCACTGTGCTCTCATTCTGAGTCACTCAGCAACTCTGTAGTGCCGATGAGAAACTGGGACAGGCTGAAACAGATCCACCAAGCCAACAGGCCAGGACTAACACCTCCACATACATGTGGTCCAACACTTGCCTACCATACAGGATCTGCCTGCCACGGCTGTCTGCCCTGTCATCTAGTTACCTGTTCTCTCATTCATAAACATATGCTGGTACTGTCTGTGTGCCAGCCCTGAAGATAGTGCTGTATAGACATAGTCCCAGAACTTATGGTCTAGTGGGAAGTCAGACTGATTAAATCATCAGCAAAATAGAATATACAGTATTATGTGGCTTGCTGTGGATATAAGGCATGGAGCTAGGAAAGTTTCCACAAGTTAGTGGTGTTTAAAGTTACCCTAAAGGAAGAACGGTAGTAATTTAGGCAGAGATGGGGGGAAAAGTGTCCAAAAGTCCCTCAGGGATGAAGCAATGGTGGCGAACTTGAGAGGTATGTGTGGCTGTAGAGAAGTGGGCTTGGGAATGATTAGGGTGAGCTGCAGAGATTGGGAGAGATGGGCTGGAGCTAGATACCAGGGAGCCTTGTGATCAAGCCACAAATAGCTTGTCTATTGAAAGGGAGTGCCCAATAGGGGTTGGGAAGATGTTATCTAATTCTGGTTTCACAAAGACTACTCTGGCTTCTTCGTGCAGAAAATAAATTGTGAGGAGCCAGCTAGGGCATGACACCAGTGTCATGCAGGTGAGTGAGGATGGGGTGGGAAAGGAGTGTGTGGGTAGCTGAAGCAGAGATCCAGGAGCTACTGAGGAGGTGGGCCCTGGAAAGCTGCTGCTGGACGGGTACTAGATTAAGGGAAGATGGGTTCATATTAGGAGAATCTTAAACTTCTGTGACTAGGTTCTAGGTGGCAAACAGGAAAAAATCAAATTCAGATGGGAGGTATTTACAGTTTGGCTATGTCAAACAGGCAGTTAAACAGTAGGATATAATGCTCAGAAGAGAGACCAGGGAAGAAAGGGAATTTGCGAGTTGTTGTTATATAGATGTAGCAGGGACACTGTTGTAGGAGCAACACTTGGTATGTAACGTAGCAGTCCTGGTGAACAATGCCTTCAGTGCAGATGAGGCCACCAGGGAGGGAAGCAGGATTGAGAAGGGCCTGGATGAAGCTCTCCCTACACCACCCCCATTTAGAGGGCAGGTAGTGAAGGTGAGTCTGCAAGGCCCTGACATAAACTGGTGAACGGACAGCTAGAACATCAACAGGACACTTGCTTAGCCTATGGCTGACGGCATCTTACAGATGACAAGCTAAGAGACACTGGTTGTGCTAAGCTCCTGGGCTCCTTCCTCGCCCTAAGTTCTACTGATCAACAAAGAGCTGGTTGGAGGAGAGGAAGGAACCACAGAGAGAGGAACAAGCTACAGAACAAGCAAAGTAATGTCACATCATGATATTTAGTAATTAAATTTAAACAGGAAAGAGGACGTACTGGCTCATTTCTAATACAGAAGTGCTCTGTCTTTTTTCTTCAGATGGGGTTTTGCCTATGTGGCAGGCTGATCTCAAACACTCCCAGCTTAGGTGATGCTCATACCTAGCCTCCTCAGTAAGGGGGATAAAAAGCCTGCCCAGGGGGCTGGAAAGGTGGCTCAGTGGTAGTGATTGTCTTGCATGCATGAGGCCCTGGGTTCAATTCCTCAGCACCACATAAGCAGAAAAAGCCAGAAGTGGCACTGTGGTGGCTCAAGTGGTAGAGCGCTAGCCTTGATCTGAAGAGCTGAGGGACAGCGCCCAGGCCCAGAGTTCAGGCCCCACGACCCACAACAACAACAACAACAACAAAAGCCTTCCCACCTCACTTGCACAAGTATTCCTTCTATCAGTGAACCACAAGCTACGACGTGGACTGAAAGCATCTACTGTGGTGTGCTAGCACACCTGCCACAGGACTACAATGCTCATACCACGATATGAATCACCATCAATGCAACGGCCAGAACAGTGTCCACACAGTCAAATGAGCACAAAGAATGCTGGCTTTAGTCAAAAGGCTCAAGTTAAAACCTGGCCTTGTAGGCAGTAGGTGGAGAACCTGCCATTCCTCCAGCATGAAGGGAGGGCAATTACGCTCAGCTGGCAGTGTTCCTGTAAGAATCAACTAGGATGCGTTATAGGGCTTTGCTTAAGGACATGGGAGTGGGAAACAAGGCTTAGACTCTGCCACTTAGTAGGTGAGTGGGCTGAGGCAAGTGCCTTTATTATCTGTGCTTCATTTTCCTTAAGAGAATTTACTGTCCTAGGGCTGGGAAGGTGGCTCAGTGGTAGAGCGCTTGCCTTGCATGCCTGAGGCCCTGGGTTCGATTCCTCAGCACTACATAAGCAGAAAGAGAATTTACTGTCCTAAATTCTATACTTGTGAAACTCAGTGTCACGTGGTTAACAGTGGAGAAACTGAGGTTGAGTCTTTTCTTAGAGATGCTCAGGTTTGAACTCAGGGTCCCCTTCCATTTGATAGGCAGATGCTCTACAACTTGAGCCATATGGTTCACATCTTTTGCTTTAAATCTTTTTTTTTTGTGTGTGTGTTGAACTGGGGCTTAAACTCAGGGCCTAGGAGCTGTCCTTTAGCTTTTTCACTCAAGGCTGGTACTGTACCACTTGGGTTATACCTCTACTTCAAGCTTTTTGGTGGTTTATGGGAGATAAAGTCTCACTCAGACTTCTCTGCCTGGACTGGTTTCAAATAGGGATTCTAAGATCTCAGCCTCCTGCAGCTAAGATTACGAATATGGGCCTGTTTTTCTTTTCTTTTTTTTTTTTTGGTCGGTTGTGGGACCTGAACTCTGGGCCTTGGAGCTGTCCCTCAGCTCTTCAGCTCAAGGCTAGTGCTCTACTACTTGGGCCACAGTGTCACTTCCTGTGCCTTTCTTGCTGGGCTGGCTTTGAACCATGATCCTCAGATCTTACCCTCAGCCTCCTGAGTAGCTAGGATTACTTACAGGCATGAGCCTCCACGCCCCGAGGCTTTCATTCTTTTTCGGATCAAGTATCAAGTTTTTGCTCTGGGCTGATGTCAGACCCCGACCGACTATTTATAGCGTCCCTCTTAGAGGGAAGCATTACAGGTACACACCACCATATCTGTCCTGGCTAGAATTTGAGATTTCAACTCAGGACTTTTGACTAAAACCATTTCTTTCTTTCATGTCAGTTGTGGGGATTTTGAAACAGTGTCACGTAGTTAACAGTGGAGAAACTGAGGTTGAGTCTTTTCTTGGAGATGACCAGGTTTGAACTCAGAGCCTCCTTCTATTTGACAGACTGATGCTCTACAACTTGAGCCACATGGCTCACGTCTTTTGCTTTTTTTTTGGTCGGTCATGGAGCTTGAACTGTGGGCCTGGGCGCTTTCCCTGCATTCTTCAGCTCAAGGCAAGCGCTCTACTGCTTGATCCACAGTACCACTTCCGGTTTTCTAGTGGTTTATTGGAGATAAGAGTCTCCTGGAGTTTCCTGCCCGGGCTGGCTTTGAATCGTGATCCTCAGATCTCAACCTCCTGAGTAGCTTGGATTACAGGTGATGCCCAGCACATCTTTTGCTTTAAATCTTTTTTTTTTTTTTGGGGGGGGTGCTGTACTGGGGTTTAAACTTATAGCCTGGTACTGTCCCTATGCTCTTTCTTTCACTCAAGACTAGTGCTCTGCCACTTTGAGCCACAGCACCACTTGTTTTCTGGTGGTTAACTAGAGGAGATAAGAGTCTTACAGACTTCCCAGCCCAGGCTGGTTTTAAATTGTGATCCTCAGATCTCTGCCTCCACAGTAGCTAGGATTACAGGCATGAGCCACCAGTGCCCAGCTAATTAAAACCTTTTTTTGGGGGGGGGTCAGTTGTGGGGCTTGAACTCTGGGCCTGGGCTCTGTCCCTCAGCTCTTCAGCTCAAGGCAAGCACTCTACCACTTGAGCCACAGCAACACTTCCGGTTTTCTGGTGGTTTAATGGAGATAAGAGTCTCACGGACTTTCCTGCCAGGGCTGGCTTTGAACTGCTATCCTCAGATCTCAGCCTTCTGATCAGCTACGATTATAGGCATGAGGCACTGGCACCTAGCTTAAAACCATTTCTTTCTGCTGTCCTAGCTGCTTTCTTCAGAAGGGGTCACTGAGCTGTCACAGGGAGAGTTGCGAAAATCAATAGGTCAAAACATACAAATGTTTATTATTACCTGGCTGACCACAGGGCATATGTAGGGGTGGATGGCAGTGCTGCCGGCTTTTGGTTAAATTATCCCCAAGGCTTGACTCCAGCTCGTCAGGGACCTCCAGAACCTAGCAGTAGGTAAGCTTGTCAGCGAGGGATTTTGGAAACATATGTGCCATGGGGGTCCAGACAGAGAAAGTGGACCCTTTCATGGGTTTGATCAAAAGCCAGTTCTCACCAGTACCAGTGTATACCTATAAGCCTAGCTAGTTAGGAGGCTGAGATCTAGAGGATCAAAGCTTGAAGTCAGCCTGAGCAGCAAGTCTGCTTTCATTTCTAAAATAACTAGCAAAAAGTAGGACTAGAAGCTTGATTTAAGTGGTAAATACCAGCTGAGGAAGCAAGTTGAACAGACATAAAGCTCTGAGTCTAAGTAACAGGAAACACACACACACACACACACACACACACACACACACGCACACACACCCCGAACCAGTTTACACACACACCCCGAACCACACACACACACACACACACACACACACACACCCCGAACCAGTTTACACACACACCCCGAACCAGTTTTCTTTTTCTCTTTCCCAAGGTAGAAGAGTGTTTAAGGTCCTTGACGTCAGGGACAGCATCTGCCCATACTTTATCTCTAAGACTAAACAGAGCAGGCAAAGAGGAAGTACTGATCATGTGAACTGTACAGACAACTCTCTTTTTTCATTTAATTCCCAAATCCTACCAAATAGAGAATTGCTTAAATTAGAAAAAAGTGGCTACTATTTATGGAATACTTGGTGCCAGACACTGCTCTGGGTGTTTTACATATCACTTGCACAGCTCAGCAAGTGTGGTGATTGTCTTTGTTTGCTTCAGGGCAGAGGCAGTCACTCATTATTTCAATTAAAGGTGGAACGGGTAATAGAAGCCCCAAGAAAGTAGAGGATATTTGAGCAGAAACTAAGTGCTCAACTCTGGACGGAGCAGGTGGATTCAAAGTACAGCTTAGCTTTAACTATATAAGGAAAGGCAGGCCACTTAATCTGTCAAGTGTTACTAAAGACTGAAAGAAACTACTGCCCCAGCGGCCAGACATGGAAACTCAGACCAACAGTGCCCATCGCATAGTAAGTACTAGTAAGGGCAACTACCACTATCACCAGGAAAACCATGCTGAGTTCTTTGAGACAGGCTAAAGTAGTGTGAGAGAAGAACTTACCCAAATTCTCTGCCTTGTAGGTTATTTTGCTGGGCTGGCAAAAGGGTAATGAATAGTATTCATAAGGTAGCTGGGTTCGAGAGCTGGTAAGTTTCACAGCCTGGTGGGAAAACAAAGGCTGTTATATTCTTCATTCCAGCAGAAGCTAAAGATGACTGTTCGGAGAACATTCCTTGAACCCGCTCATCATTAACACTCTTGGGAAAGAACCCACCAGGCAAAATGATGTAGCAGACAGACTGTACTGTCTACGACTCTGGACTTCACTTTTCCCTAGTTTTAGACTGAATTATAGATTTAGTTTAAAATCATGAGATTGAATATACACAGAGTTTTAGAATGCGTGGCTATCTTTTGACAAGATAATTCCATTCTAGGCATCCACCTTTTAGGGAATGTTTTAAGTAAGGAAAAACCTTTAGGAACAAAGATGTCCATTCCTTATTTTTAAGTACAAAGCCCTCTCGCCCATCACTCCCTCAAGTCCTCCTGCCCCAGGCTTTCTCCTTTGCCTTATTCCACGTTCATCTAATGCCTTCCCAAACTTAGGTTTTGGCTTCAGTTCCCTCACCCTTGAGCCTCGCCTCCTACCCACTGTATCCAATGGGCCTTGAGCTCAACCCCTTGAGCTTCTTATAGCACTTCAGACAAAATGCAGTTATCTGCTTTACTTATGGTCCATGATGGACCATAAGTGTCTTGATCTGTGCTTACAGCAAGGCAGAGCAGGTATTCTGAAGAAGAAAGGAAAACCGAAAGCCACTAAACACCTTATAATAAAAACAGTGAAGAAACCATAGTATGCTACCACTGAATTAAGTGTAGTGTAAGCATTAAACACAGGGTTAATGAAAATAGTTCATGAGAAGGTTTAAGGAGAGTATTTAGGAGATGCTACAAACATCCTGCAGAATGGGCAGCAGGCACAAAAAACCCATAGGTAAAACAGAATGTTGCGCCCCTCCCTCCCATACATATCTTTACTACTTAAGAACTACCCATTATTGGTCATACAGCATGTTATCACACTTTTTGTGTTTCATCATTCACAGTACAAAGAGGTGAGTCTCACCTTTATGCTCTCTTCCCAACCAAGGTATCTACTTCCACACACCTACCATGGCAGGACTAGAAGCCAACCATTCCTATACTCCCTATGCCACAAGCTTTGCTCTAGAGGGGGCATTTGGCAGAGGCCAAATTAGAAGAAAGAGCACTGCAGTGGTAAAAAGATGGGACTTGAAATTAATCCTATACCTGCCTCACCATGTGACCTTGGACATGTTGGTTCACTTCCTTGGGCTTTAATTTTTCTTACCTGTGAAGTACACAGAAATTTGCAAAACACAAAGAATGTGCAGGCAGGAGGACACATCATAAGATAAGGCAGGTCAAATGCCTGGCATGTAAATAGACCTCAGTAAATGTCACTCTGACATTTTTCTGGCAAAATACAAGATTGCCTTCCAAGGAAGAGAGCCTCCCAATAAATGAACAATATGAGCAGATGCTAGATATTATGCAGAGAAAATTGATAACCGAAGGGGATGGATCTGTGGCAGAGATGCCACAGAAGAGGAGGTAAGTGGAATGGAATGAGACAGAGATGTCTCTATATGTGTATATGTGTGCGTGTTGCTTACAAGCAACAAGGAGAGCGAAAGAGGTACACATGCATATGAGCACACAAAAGCAAAGACCAGCAGATAAAGATCACTTTCACAGGAGTGATGTAGAGAGACACAGAGCCAGAGGCAGAGAGAGAGGGCAATGCAGAGCCTCTGAACTGCAGGCAGAGGTGCAGCATGCAGTGGAGGTTTGTGCTGTCTGTAATCACAGGATGGGCATGGCAGGTGAGCTTTGCCCTCCAGTTTGGCTGCCCAGTGTAGATGCAGCTATGTCCTTGGACATACTCACCTTGATTTCTACAGGGTCGTTTTGGTGGAAGTTGATTGGTGCAACCCCTGGGACATAGAAGGCGCTTGTTTCAGCTGTGAGAGAGAGAAGAACCAGGGACCACAGCCACCAATCCTGCTGGGAAGAAGAGAGGCTACAGTTGGAATGTAGAAAAGAATGAAATCCTCACCATCTCTGCCCAGGGCAGATCAAGTGGCAACCTTTACCTCTGCTTCCACTGACCAAATGTCATCTCATGTTCTAGTAAGCCTGAGGTCCTTGTAAATAGGGCCAAATGCTCCCAAGAGTGCCAGGCTAATAAGTCTGGACTTCCAGAAATGAGCCATGAAATGGGTCACATAATTAATAACTGGGCAAAAAGGAAGACTGACACACAGGAGCCACACTCAATACTCCTGAGCATTGTCATGTTTTTTTGTCCATTGTGGGCTTCAACTCTGGGCTTGGGTGCTGTCCCTGCGCTCTTCAGCTCAAGGCAAGTACTCTACTGCTTGAGTCATAGCGCACTTCTGGTTTTCTAGTGGCTTATTAGAGATAAGAGTCTCATGGACTTTCCTGCCCGGGCTGGCTTTGAACTGCGATCCTTACAGGAGTGAGCCACCGGCACCCGGCATAGCATTGTCTTTTTTGTGCTCGTACTGGGGCTTAAACTCATGGCCTCATGCTCTCACTTTTTTTTCCCCCCAGTCACAGTTGATGTTCTACAACTTAAGCCATGTCTAATTTTTTTTTTCTGATAAATTAGATAAATTAGCCTCTTGGACTTTTCTGTCTGGGCTGACTTGAAGTATGATCCTCAGATCTCAACTTCTGGAGTGGCTAGGATTACAGGCATGAGCCACCAGAGCTCGGCTGAGCACTCTCCTTTTAACTGTTTCCCAGTGTATCACTCTCCAGTACAGCTTGCAGGAAATAAAGCACCACAATGTTCTGTAAGTTCCCATTTCTCTTTATGGCAACAGGCTCACTTGGTCAGGAAGCACTTGTGTTATCAATGTATTTTTCCATACGTGCTCTCCAAAATGGCACCTTCTACTCCTCCCTTCACTCAGCCCCAGTCCCACAGGTCTGTTGTCCTTTGAGCACCTCTTCGGTTTACTCTACTCTTGCTCCAACACCCTCTCCACAGGTTGCTGCATGGAACACTTGTTATTTCATTCAGGTGTCTCTCAAAGGTCACCTCCTCAGAAGTCTTACTTCCTTTTTTTTTTTTGGGGGGGGGTGTCCTGTCGTGGGGTCTGAACTCTGGGCCTGGGCACTGTCCCTCAGCTCTTCAGCTCAAGGCTAGCACTCTACCACTTGAGCCACAGCGCCACTTCCGGCTTTTTTCTTTCTTTTTTTTGCCTGTCGTGGGGCCTGAACTCTGGGCCTGGGCGCTGTCCCTCAGCTCTTCAGCTCAAGGATAGTGCTCTACCACTTGAGCCACAGTGCCACTTCCAGCTTTTTCTGCTTATGTGGTGCTGAGGAATCGAACCCAGGGCCTCATGCATGTAAGGCAAGCACTCTACCACTGAGCCACTTTCCCAGCCCCCCGGCTTTTTTCTTAAGTGGTGCTGAGGAATCGAACCTAGGGCCTCGAGCATGCAAGGCAAGTGCTCTACCACTGAGCCACCTTCAGAAGTCTTCAGCAGCCTTTCTATCTAAAATGGCAGCCTCAGGCCTCCCATTACCACCTCTATCTCCTCACAAACTTATCTACTTGACATTATGCTGTTGGCAAATATGTCTGTTTGTGTTTCCCTTGTCTTCCTTCTCCTCTTGAATTTATCGTATATTTATTTATTTATTTTTGGTCAGTCCTTGAACTCATGGCCTAGGCGATGTCCTTGAGCTTTGTTGCTCAAGGGTAGCACTCTACCACTGCAAGCCACAGCTCCACTTCTGGTTTTCTGGTGGTTAATTGGAGATAAGTCTGACAGACTTTCCTGCCTGGGCTGGCTTTGAAAGGCAATCCTCAGGTCTCAGCTTTCTGAATAGCTAGGATTACAGGTGTGAGCCACTGGCGCTTGGCTTTTCTTTTAGGAAGCAGGACTCAGAAAATATTTTATACAGGCCATGCACCTAGGAATCTAATGCAACCCATGCCAATCTCTGACCTCAACAAAATCTATCCAAAGTGCCTCCACCTATTGAAAGAACTAGGAGAGCTGCTAGACTCTTGTCTCTCTGCCTGGTAGGAACAGAAAATGGACATTTGTTATCCACATGCCTAAATCACCAACTTAATTGTGTTTCTCCATCTGCCTTTCTATACTCTTCACTGCTGCTGTTTCCTCCCACCCAGACACTAGCCACAGCCTCCTAATCACTTTGTTGTATAGCTTTTCCACCCATTAAGTTATGCTCTCCACTCTGCACAATTCAGGATTTCTTCCAATATGCAATTTTATAAGCAATCAATCTCTTTGAAGAGGCTTGTACAACTGCAGAATCGTTTACATCTTTACCTGGACTACAACTTTAAGATTCTAGTCAGGTACTGTGGCTCATTCTTGTAGTCCCAGCTACTCTGTAGGCTATTGCAGCTTCACTTGAGGCCAGGAATTTGAGGCCAGGCTGGACAACGTGGCGAGTACACTGGTATACTCTGTGTAATTTGATCAAAGCCTTAAAAGTAATATATCTGGGCTGGGAAGGTGGCTCAGAGGCTGAGTGTTTGCCTTGCATACATGAGGCCCTTCAATTCCTCACAATAAATCCAATTGATTAATCGTAAACTTTTATAGATACCTGCTACTTGCTGTTTCTTATGAAATAAAAATTGACTCCAATAAAACCAGTAATAGTAGCTAAGATAGGCATGTATTTAGTAATCAGGGGGTAGGCAGAATTAGCAGTGCAGGAAAATCTTTTAAAAAGAGACAAGAAGGGGGCTGGGAAGGTGGCTCAGTGGTAGAGCACTTGCCTTGCATGCCTGAGGCCCTGGGTTCAATTCCTCAGCACCACATAAGCAAAAAGAAAAATGCCGGAAGTGGCGCTGTGGCTCAAGGGCTAGAGTGCTAGCCTTGAG